GAAACGCTGGCGGCCCTGCAAGCCCACTTGGCAGCCGTGCAAATCGTCGAAGACGCTGACGACGAAGTGTCCGAGGACTTTAGATTGTCGCAGTTGTGCGTTGCGCCCTGAACAGAGCTAGAGCAACACGTCGGCTCACTGGGGTGGTTGTAGCTGGTACGACGACGTGACAGGCGAGACGTTGGCACGCGAGGCGTTGGAGAAGAGCAAGGGTGGTCCGATTGCGTTTTTGAGCACCCCGGCAGCCTACAAGGCGCTCAAGGTATGCGTCGTGGCTACCGGTGCATCCTTCCTGAGGCAACACACTCACAACTGTGCGTGATGGGTCGTAGAAATTGGAGCCCGACCGTCCAAACGTGTATATTTTCGAATACGACCATCGATTCGGACAAAAGTACGGCGACGAGTTTGTCTTTTACGACTACAATGCGCCGCTGGACGTGGAGGAAAGGTTCCACGGGTTTTTCGACTACGTCCTGGTCGAGCCACCGTATTTGGTATATTTGAACGTCAGTCGAACTCGGGAGACTGATGACGGTGCTGGTGGCGTAGACGGAGCAGTGCATGAAAGGGTTTGGTCAGACCATGAACTTGATTTCGCGGGAGGTCAAGACCACATCTGACGGCAAGCAAGTCATGGTGACGCCCAACGCGTTTATCAATTGTAAGCCCCATCGTCCGCTCTCGTTGTACGGACTTCACGTGTGGTGATAGCTGGAGCTCTGCGCGACGCCATGGCGACCGAGCTGGGGCTCACCCCGTGTGGGTTTGTGCCGACGTTTGAATCGAAGCTGTCGAACCGGTTGACCACTTACATCAACTACACGTCGACGCGGTTTGGCCCCTACGAAGACTAGAAAATACATGCAACGTTTTCCCCAATATGTCGATTGTTTTTCGCCCACTCGGCGGTGCGAGACGGTGCGGTCGACTCATGCACCGAGTCACCGTTCCCTGACACTACATCGTCCTTTCGCGCTTGCCCTCTTGAACCATCACGCTGCTCGCTCCTGTCACTTCCAGAGACCACGATATTGCATGTCGAAACATCGGTGTTGGGCATAGGAAGTGATGTCCCCCATACGGTCCTCGATCGCCTCGCCCAACCTCGTCAGGGTTTCAGCCCTTTGGGCTCCAGCGCGCCTGTCGTGGTCTACTAGTTGACGCAGCTGACTGATTGTTGTTGTGAATGACTTCCGCTGACGGACAAGTGCCAATGATGATGGCCTAGAGTTCGTACGGTCATGTTCCGCCTACTACACCGAGAATGGCTTCGCTTCTCCTCGAGCGTCTCCGTGCCAAATGACGTCCGCGAGGTCCCTATCACAGCGTTTTGCGTGCAGAGTGCTTTGTAAGGAGAGGACCAACCGTGGTCACTGGGCCGAGCCGGTTGGCTACGTTGACTCAACGTAGCCAACCGGCTCGGCCCAGTGTTTTGACAATGGCGATGCCAAAGTACTCGGCGAGGGAACCATTTGATTCAATTTACGTCTCGATCATCACGGCATAGCCTTCAACGGGATCTACGTCGAAGCTACATGCAAGCGCTTCAACTGAACACTTTTACGCCAACACAGCATGTTTAGTTCTTTGGCGCACGCACGTTAGGAGTCCGAACGGTCGGACACCACAAACATGTCGTGGCGACGAGAGTTTATTCGGTGAGCCTTGGAATTGAAAAACGCATCAAAACCGCGTACGGCTAGCCCCATGGCCGCCGACATGGCGATGCCGCTCATGTACGTGAATGTCTTCATGATTCCCATGAAACGCATGTCGTTCGATGGATGTAGCACATCCAAGCCGATGAGGGCGTCGATAACCAAGTAGGGCATGTTCAGAACAACCAGGACGAGGACTATCCAGGACAGTGCCTTGGGCAGAGCAACAAACTGCAGTCGATCGCGTTGGGATTCGAGCCATATTGTAACCAGCGCAAGGAAAACCACGGCTAGACACCGCAGGCCCCACGTTGCCCATGCAAACTTGGACAGTGCGATGGCTGCAAGTGGCTCTTCTTCGTTTGGATCGTTCGGGTCGAACCCAGCGACGGTCGCGCCAGACCGGTCGACAATCACCATGGAAATGTAGAATATCAACGAGAGGCCACTGATTACAGACATATACGCGACCAGGCACCTTCGGTGACTTCGCGCCGCGATCCGAGGCGCCATCGCACGCCGCTTGCACTCATACATTGCCGCGATGAGCCACATCGAGGTTGCGTTGAAAAGTGTTTCGGTGATGAAAGTCATGTTGCGGATGCGAGGGTGCTCGGTGGTGTCGAGGCCGTTGTTCGAGTAGACGAAGAGAGTCCGGACGAGGGAGGCGGAGGACCAAGTGAACCAGCAGAAAAACACCATGAACATCGTGCCGTGACCGGCATCTCGCTTGACGCTGTCCCATTTGAACACACAGACACATGCGGCGAGGGTCATGCCGGCAGACCCTGCAAGGATAGTAGTGTATCTGAACAGCATCGCGCGGTCCTCTCGGGCGCCGTCGACGCTGGAGAGGAGCACTCTTGTCACGACCATGTTCCCGAGACCGTGGAAGTCGGCTGGTGTCGAACCGGTCCGAAATAAAAATATGGTCAGTCGAATCATGTGGGCGAGATGTGGGCAAGCGTTGTCGGGTGATACACACGGCATGGAAGCATCCTGCCATCGCACCAGCAGATGCGGTAGGGAGGGTCTTCAAGCGCCAGAGAGATCCTGCTCCATTGACATGACGAGGACGAGGCGTCATGATGCTCAAACCAGCCGCCTTGGCCGAAACAATCCGTTCAACTCTCGCTGCGACAAAGGCCTGATTCATCATATGATGCAACTCTGGGAGGCGCATTGCCAACATCGTCGCCGCGTCCGATTTCGTTGCGACCAAATCAAGCGTACAGCTCTCGCCAAGACAGCTCCGTCGCAGCAACTGCCACACCCTTCTCCCTCGCCCGGCGGCATCGCCTTTTGGCAAGTCGAGGGAGTGAACTGTATAAAAGCATAGAATCAATTTCGGAACCACTCCGAGAGTTAAAAGTAACATACTGTATTGGCAAGATTTAGCTGTAATGTTAATAGAGTAATTCGAGAAGGCGCCATGGCCGTCGGCACCAGCATCATGGAGAACGCGGCCGACTTTGTCGAGTATGTGAGCAGATCTACGTTTCGAATTGGAGCACTCGCCGCCGTCCAAGTCGCAGTGTTTGTGTTCGTGCAAGTGTTTCTTGCCACTGCCGTATATCGTCCAGCCGTCGAGAGAGATCCGTCGACAATGATCTTGGCCATTCCAGATGCTAGGTGCGCATGGACACCACGCAGCTCCACGACTTGACCTAATGCGTATAGATATGGATACGGCACGCAGGACCTCTTTGAATTGTACATGTGGATGGGTCCTGCGGTTCGCCGGTGGTACATCTACTTTGAGCTCGTGGATCTCTTCGTCTTTATCCCGACATGTAGCGCAACCGTCTCGTTCCTTCGCCTTCTCATGCCTTTCAATGTAGACGCGCCGTTCTTGACCCTACTTCTCCTTCTCGTCCACCGCCGCTTGGGTCGTCACGAACCGTTGATCATCTACCTGCCATTTGTCGCGGCAATTTTCGATGCATTTGAAAACGCTGCGCACATCTACACCGCGCACACGTTCGAGTCACTTGAGTCCGTCCAGAAGGAGACGTGGATTCTTGCAGCACACGTCGGATCGATCTCCAACATCTTCAAGTGGGGCGCCATCGGCGCCGTGTTCGTGTTGTTGTGCTGGAACTTCGGGAAAACTACCATCCACGCCGGTCTGGACAACACAGACCCCTCAAAGAAATCCGATTAATCTTCGCATTGAACATTACAAAAGATTCGAAGAGTTATTTACATGCGTCTTGCGCCTCTACACACGAGAGCGTGAGCGTTGATGAGTGTCGTTGCGGGCTTACCTCGAGCAGTGGCTGCTTTCGCCTGGGCTTCGCCCAGCAGCTCACGGACATACGTTTCCGAAACTTGCCTGGCTAACTTGGGTGGGGGGTCGCAGAGGTTCGGTAGCGAGATGGGTAGGTGATTCTGTTCGTTGGCACTAAGTACGGACGCTCGAATCGAGGATGTTTGGTCGAGCAGAGGGGTGCCGATGTCACTGTCGTAGACGTCGTCCACGATTGAGCATTTAGCGCTACCACCACCGCCATCCTTCGCCGTGGCGTCTTCTTCTCGCAGCGCACGGTCTTTCAGCTGTGCCTGGACGAGCTTCTTTCTCGGCGAGCACTGCCCGACGTCCTTGGCGCCGCAGATATCCACCATCAAGTCCACTCAGTGTGCACTGACATATTATTCATAGCACGACCAAGGCCATTCGCAGCCATGTGAAACCGTTATTATCGTCGTCACCATCCCGTCGCGTGCCCCGTTCTGGTACACGCATCTGTCCGTTTCGATGACAAGCCGTCGTGTGGGGCAGGGCTTCCCGAAGTGACGGAGCGATTCTCTGTAGGAGCAGGGGATGTCGACTTCATCCAAACCTTTGCATTCCACAGCCGCCTCATGCGCATGGTGACATGTGGATTCTTTCCTGGCATTCACACGTGGACGGCACGAACAGGGCTGTATCCTCATGGGTTACACCTACCTTGCACGTTGGGCCCTGCAGAATCTATACGCAGCGACGGCATTGTTGCTCAATCGTTGGATTTTGCTCGGCCCCGGAGCACATGCTATGCCGTGCGATGCCGTCACGGGGCGACCTGAGCCCCCCAACTCGAAGATTGCAGCAGAGGTGCTGGCATGTAACCGACGTAACGGTCAGCACCAACCATGGACGTTGCCGCGACTGTCTCCGAGCGCTATCCGGGCCTGGATCCAGGACCACTGCCCACACTAAGTGAATCTGTCGAAGCAGACTTGCACCATCTCGAAACGGAACGGCTGAAGCGAGATCTGGCAGCGATGGTGGCGATGGATGCGACCATTGCCAGGTCGATCGCATCCAACATGATGACCGGCGTCGCGTCCGCCGAGACGACTGCTGGGGCCATCAAATTGCAGTCGTGGTGGAGGCAACGCGTTGCCCAAGCCAAGCTGGCCACTCTAATGCTGGAAAAGTTTGAGGCCGACGAAGCGCGACAACGTTTGCGAGAACAGCGACTCGTGGAAGACACCCTCCAGCTTCTCGATCGGTGGGACGTCCTCGTGGATGGAGCTCGACTAAATCTCAACATGCTAGACTGGCACTGCAAAACCACTTAGCTAACGAAGCATACTTGACCAAGTGCCGAAGGAATCACCAGAACCGAGTGGCGTATTCGATTCAGTGCCTCTACCGCCGCCATTCGGCCAAGAAGCGGCCGACGACCGCCGCGACCACGATCCTACCCTCGTCGTATGACGCGACTCTGTTCCGTCCAGAGAGCAGCTAGACCATGTCCGTTCATATCATGGCCTCTATTTACTTGATTTGCTAAGTGGTGCTGCTGCGGGACCCCAACGAGTTTCGCAGCGACTCCGCCGACATTTCCTCCCACTCGTGGACACTCTTGACGACTACGTGACTGAGGGTGGCTTCTTGGATGGATCGCCGCGTTTTGAACACGCCGTGGCACGTTCGACACACGCGCTGGGCGTCCTTGACGGGCTTTCCATTTGACGCCGTGCGGCCAGGAAACTGCGGCGGAAACTGGCAGAGCTCAACTGAGAACGCGGCGCATTCGGAGCAGCAGATCCGACCGCAGTGTTTGCAGTGGTGGCGCCGGTGGGCAAACCCAAACGGTTTGACGCACACCATGCAGTTCTTCTTGTCCTTCTCGCTCATCCAGAGCGGGGGCAACGTGATCGCGTCCAGTAGTTTCTTGAGCTTGACATTGTCCCGCTGGGCGAGCTCGATCACGCGGACGCCATCGCGGTCGGTTGCGTTGAGCTGAGCGCCCGATCGGATGAGCGAGCACGCAATGTCCATGAGTTCTCTGTCGACTGCTACGTGGAGGATGGTGGACCCATCCAGAAGCGCCACGGTTGGTGCTGCGCCAGCTTCGAGCAAGATATCTGTAATCGTCGGATCGGTCTGTCGTGTCGTCATGATATGCACGACCAGCGGAGTCTGTTGGCGCTGGTTTGGGACGTCCACGATGGATCGGCCGCCGTACTGGAGGAGAAACTGGACGAGGCGTGGGCCGTTCTTGCGGTCTTTGGCGACGGCAAAGTGCAGTGCAGTGTTACCATTCCGGTCTTGAAGGGTCATGAGGTCGTAAATAAGCTTGGATTTGCACAGTTCGTTCACCACTGTGTAGTGGCCCTTACGAATCGCCAGGTGCAGCGCCGACTGGCAGTGCTTGGGTTCGCAGATCAACAGGTCGCAGTGGGCATTGCACAGTGCTTTCACGACTTGGAGGTCGCCTCGCTCAGCCGCATCCAGCAGCGTAGTCCGTCCGGCGTTGTTCAGAATGTTCGGATCGCTGCCTGCTTCCAAGAGCATGCGGCACACATGCGGGTCGGTGGCCAAGTGAAGAGGCGTGTTCCCAGCCAAATCTTGCGCGCTTAAGTCCGAGTCCCAGTCCACTAGTAGTGCCACGACTTCGAGGTTCGGAAGCGCTGCCGCCGCATGGAGCGGCGTCCGTCCGAGCGAGTTCATCGCGAGCACACTCGCGCCGTTCTCTAGCAATGTCATGACGTCTAGTTCATTGCCTGAGTTCACGGCGTGGTGCAGGGCCGTGTCCCCAGGCGTCTTTTCGACTGGCCGGGGTGGTTTCTGTCGGTGATTGTTGGATAAGGTGTACCCATTCGGGTCGTAGTCTCCCCCACTGCGGGAAATCATTCGGAATTTGAACGTCGACGCACTGCCGGCGGTACCTCGGAATGCAAAGTCGTCGTCTCCGTTGGAAGAGGCGAGCGACGACCTCAAGTCCCCGGACAGCCGACCGCCAGACGACACACGCTGGAGCATCTGCCCTGACGCGAGCTTCGACGCAGCCAGCACTCGCGCGCGTTCTGCTGCAGCTTCTGCCTCGAGCCGCTGCAATTCTGCCATCCTCTTGGCCTCTCGTTTTCGATGGACCAATTGTGCGGCGAGGAAACGTCGAGTGTTCTACGCAGGTAATTGAGTGTGAGCAGGCTGCATTTTGTCGGGGTATGACGCTAATTTGGCAGTCCAGGCAGCCACCTACAGTTTGAATCAAGAGGATAGCCGCCAAGGCGCGCCGGTGCTGGCGCTGGGCCAGACAACGGCGCCATAGACTTTGAATGAGCACGACGAACTCGCCGTAGCGTTTGGCGAGCTGTGCTTCAGCATATTGGATCGCCGTACGTCGAAAGAACACTTTGGTCACGCCCACTTGCAGCGGGGATGCGGCTGATTGCGTTGTGTTTTCATGTCTGTCGAGAGATAATGTCTGAATCAAGTACGCGGCGAGCGCTGTGGCGGCTGCGCGCCGATCTGCTGGCGTCGAAGCGGTGTCGTCCCCGCACGTGTCTGGGATTTGCTTGAGCATGGTCTGATTTCCGAGAGGTCGGTAGCGCTTGACGAACTGGGCGTGTGTGATGCGGACGGGGAATCCCGCGCGGTTGACTCGGACGGCTTCGAGGACGCCGCCAGCTTGGAGTTGGTCGCAGATCCGATGAAACTGGAACAGGTTTGGTTTATTCTTGTCGTTTGGCTTCAGGCATCGCACATACGAGCACTGCGTCTGCTGGACTGTGTCCATGAGCTCTTTAAGCTGTCTCCGAAACGTGCTGCCAACACTGCTGGAGGCTTTTGCCATCGCCATGGACGACGGTGACGGCCTTAAGTTGCCTCGCGTCGACGCAAGCTTTTGTTGACTCGTGGAGGGGCTTGCCACGTCCTGACTGATCGTGCGGAGGAACGAAAGCGACGACTGCCGCACGAGCGCCGCTATTTCAGCATGCAACGTGTCCTTGTTCTTGTCGCAAAAGCCATACGTGTGGTACTGCACCCACCCAGCATAATGGTGGATGCTAAACGTGTTGTTGGCGCGGTCGGCATGACTTGCTCGGAAGAACGACGACGGCGAGGGGGTTCCAGCCGCGGCGGCGGACGTATGCAGCTTTGTTGCCTTTCGCGCAAAGTTCTCGTCGCTCCCCTGGGGCACGATGCACTCTTCATCGAGCATGTGAAAGAGGCCCCTGGGCTTCTTCTCGAGCAAGTCCAAGCACGGCTGGTTGTCGGGAAAGTTGATAAAGCTCCACTGGATGTGTTCTCGCTCGTACGTGACTTGTTCCTGGCGCAGGACGGTTGCGTTAAAGTGGTGCTGCAGGGTCTCGTTCGCGTAGTTGATGCAAAGCTGCTCGAACGAGTTGGTCGAGAGGTCTTCGAACCCAAAGATGTCCAAGACACCGATGAAGCCGGCGAGGTCGCTGTCGTTGTGGTGGTCGATTGTGGTGTTGATGCGCTTGACCAGGTAATCAAAGAGCTTTCCATACACATACCGCGTCAACGCATCTCGGTGCTGCTCGGCAACGTCAGGCAACAGGCCGAGCGTATACCATTCATCGCGCGCTTGGATTTTGCGCGTCGTCAACGCCACTTCCAGCGTGTGCCGGTCAACTCCAAAGAACGACGTGACGTGGACTTCCGCGGCGGTGCTAGCATGATCGCTGGACAGAACCGACCCTTCATGGCCGTGATGAGTGGCGTGGAATCGCAAGTTGCCCACGTGCAATAGATTGGCGACGGTGTAAAAGATGTTGTGCTGGTCGTCTTGGTCAAACTGCATCGTGTCCAACGCGTCCTGGAGCTTGGTGAACTGGTCTTGGTCGTCCACACCGTCCTTTCGGTGAAAGCAGTCGCTCTGATTGAGGTAGTAGAAGTCTCTGGGGAGAGTGAGCCCCCACTCGGCCTTCCGACCGGCGTCGAGCCCGGCGAGCAGTTCGTAGAACACGTGGTAGTTGCGCTCCATGGGGGCCTGTGATGTTACGCGCACTGTTTCAAGCAAGTACGTTTGAATGCCAGCCCCAATGAGGAGCCCGCGGTGCTGGCTGAACTGCATTTGGATGAACTTGCCAAACCGACTCGAGTTGTCGTTCCGAATCGTTCGCGCGTTTCCAAACGCTTCCAGGATCGGCGACGACGACAGCACTTGGGACATGACGTCGCTCTGGTTGATGTTGATGTTTCGCATGCTCTGGCTTTGGGACACGGCGGCAAGGTACTTCATGATGAACTTTGTCGTCTCCGTCTTGCCGGCGCCAGACTCGCCGCTCACGAGGATGCTTTGGTTTTGCGGCCGCCCTGCTAGTGGTGCCGTGAGCGATCGAAAAGCCGCGTCAGCGACGCCAAACACGTGCGGCGGCGCGGTGGATTCCTCGTCGCCGAGCGCTTGAAGCATGCCATGCCGAATGTGCTTGCGGATCACCTTGTCGCTGTAAATGCCAAGGTCTTGGAATGGATTCACGGCGAGGAGGATCTCGCCTACCGCGAGGAGCAGTCGATGAATGAAAATGCATGGACAGTGTGATTCGCACCGGTAAGTGTGTAGATCTCGTTTTGCTTGAAGCGCTCGTTCAAGGTGTGGCAAATCCCAGGTTCGTGCAAGTTAGGCAGTCGAATCAAGTCGTCCACCAAGTCCTAGCAAGCGAGTCACGGCTGCATCCTAAAGACCAAATTTCGCATACCATGTCGGCGCTGTTGGCGAGCTTGACCAATTCGTCCGTGCCATCTTCAACTTTGGCAACATCGACAAGCAAGGTTTCGACTCCGCCACTTGCATACTCATACGTGACGTCGACGTGCATGCTGCCGGCGTTCTTCTTGATGTTGCGGACCAGCGCTTGGACCCACTCGTCCTTGCTCTTGACCCATAACCCCACGCCGATCTCCATGACCGCACCGACCTCCTACTGACGGGAGGATGGATCGCCGCGGTACAAGTACAGTGGCCAGATGTGATTGGATCACTCGGGCAATAATTCGGAAGGAGCCAATCAAAATGGCCTCTCACTCGTTACTTCTTTTAATCCGGATTCAATTGCCATACAAACAACATGTGATTTTAAAAAGAGCAGCAAATTGCTCGGCAGTTCAACCTTGATATGGGAAATGGAGTAGATCACGGCTTATGGTATCGCGCGCGTCCGTTGCGCACGTGTGTGAGGGGCTCACAACGGGTGGCAACAACGGAGCTTGGCAGCGCCATGCCCTCTGCCTTGAAGCGCAGGGCTGCGGTACACAAGGCTTTTGAAGTGCCTGTCGGCTTCTCAGGGACTTGGTGACTCTGCACTGCTCCATCGCTTGCAACGGAGTTGGTTTTGCCAATGATAGGGGCCACTCACGAGACGACCTTGACATGTTTGGCAATGAGATGCGGTGAGTTCGATACTTCAGATATTGACCATTGGCAGTGTGGATGGCGAGTCTCTGCACTGCGTCTCGACTTTTTGGCAACAAACGTCTTGGAACTCGGCTAGTGTCAGCATGCGCGCCAACTTAGCTTTCCGCACGCAATGTGAACCACTATGCTGTGCATTCCTATGAGAATGAAGCGAGACGGCAAGCAGAGGACATCCTGCCACATCAGAAAGCCAGACAAGTACTTGTCATGTGCCTTGCATCCACATATACCTCGTCCACGAACACGAACTCATCGACCTCAATTGGGACATTCAGGGCAACTTGATCTCGATCGAGACGACATTCAGCGGATTGACGGTAGATGGAAGCAGTGGTTTGCTACATGGACTGGTAGCGGGTCGTGTCTTGAAATGCATTTGCGCGGGGCTCCTGCAACCAGATAAAACCTCTTAACATTTATACAAGGAGAGATCGAATTATAGAGTTTACACCGCTGCAACTGCAACCCAGCACAGTCGCTTTCGACGCATAAACAATTGAGAGCTGACCTAGTCACGACGATGATCAAGGCACTTCTGGCGGCGGTGATGGCGATGGGCGTGGCGTCTATGGAGGCCGTCCCAGTGCACGATCGTTCGATGGGAGGATTCCGTCAAGTCGATCTGAACGACGAAAACAAAGGCGACTTCTTCACGGCCACGTCCAACCCGACGCACTATTCCCGCTCGAATGACCCGTTTGTGTGTGTGACGTCTTTTGACAAAGTGCTTCAGCAAGTTGTGGCTGGTATGAACTACAAGTTCCACGTGCACGGGTGTACTGTGGATGCTCCATCCAAGGCCCAAGCCGGCTGCGACTGTGGTGACCGCGAAGTGAAAAAGTTCGTGATCGAGGTGTTCTCGCAACCGTGGACCCAAACGTATAAGGTGACGAAGGTGTCGAATGTCAACCAGCGCCATGAGCTGTAAAGTTCTTTGCGGCCATCTTCATGTCGGAGCGTGCCATTGAACCTTGTGTTGCGTGGATCAAGAGGTTAATGGACACCATCACGGTATTTGTAGCCTCCAGCTAAAACTTGGCCTTTGGTGCTGCTTTTCATTCTTTAAGCACAAATCACATGGGACAATGCATGGATCACCACAGTCCACCTGATTTATCGCATTCGGTTCAAGACCACGGGAAAGATGTGAAAGAAATTTTGACCTCGCGACGATGGAGACATCATCTCGCAGCGAGCAGGGTGCGAGTACTTCCCAGGACCATTCTCGCATCACTTCATCCATGGACGGCATGGACACAAACTGTTCAGTTGAATCTTTATAAATGGGAAGCCAATCTCGGACGATTACATATCAAGCATTCGACATGGTTTCGTTGCCATCAGATTACAGCACCTCACTACGATGCAGAAGGCGATCAGGGGAAAGACAAACAAGACGACTACGACAACGAGGTACGTACTAGGCAGGGCCTCCGCCACCTTCGGGGACAGTCCAGTTAATGTATTCCTGGGGCATCTTGATCGAGCAGCACTTGCAATGAACGCAATTTTGTGCGTTAATCACCAACTGCGGCACGCCATTCGCTCCTGTTAAACACAATATGTCAGTCGAATCTAGCCGTTCAAGACGAAGACACACCATCTTCGCTGCCGTCAGTGTACTCGTACACCTTGGCGGGGCAGAATCGCTGTTCAGGACCAGCAAACACAGGAAGCGACTCCTTCGACGGAACGTTTTCTTTGCCGGGTTTGATACGTAGATGCGCGGGTTGGTCGGCGTGGTTCGTGCCGCTGCGTTGCAAGTTCGAGAGCAGGTCGAAGGTAAGGACGCCGTCTGGCTTTGGGTACTCGATCGGCGAAAAGTCCTTGGCCGGCTTGGTCTTGGCCGAGTCGGATTTGTCGTTACCGAGCGTCCACGGTTCATGGCCATTTAAGATGAACGCACTCAACCCAGAATACAACACGCCGGGAAGGGCACCCCAATGGAAGGACTGATGCGTGTTGCGCACCTTCTTGAGTTCTTCGTACACCCACGACCCTTGAATCTTTGTTTCATAGCTACATTCTCCAGATGACTTCACAGCCATTTTGCGTCAAGCGACTCGATACCTCGAGATGTCGATCACTGGTTCGTTCTCGTCGATAGCGCCAGATACCGCAACAGGCTCTAACCCGCTCGACGTCAACGCTTCAAACGCGGCTTCAGCCGCCAACATCCCCGATTTCATTGCCGTGTGCGACCCCTTGATCTTGATGCTGTTCAAAAATCCGGCCGAGCACCCAATGAGCCCGCCTCCAGGGAACGTCAGCTTGGGAATGGCATGGTAGCCGCCCTGGTTGCAATGTTAAAAACACTCCTTGCGTGTGGCCGATTTTTTCGTACTTCGTTCAGCACCCGCGCGCCGTACGCAATGCATTCGCCGCCATCCAAATGACTGCGGATCGCAGGATGGGTTTTGAAGCGCTGGAACTCTTCGTATCTGGACAATTCCATGAGATGAAGACGGGAATACCATGGAGAGAAAAGCACTCACGGGTTCAAGTAAGGGTTTTCGTAGTCGAGACCGACCACAACACCGATTTGCACCAAGTCTTCGTCCATGTGGTAGAGAAAGGATCCGCCAAATGTCTTGTCAAACAACGATGACTGGAGTGGCCAGCCCAACGTGTGCTGCACCAATCTGTCGGAATAATGAAGCATAAACGAATGAGCTCGACTCGTAATGAAGATGACTCGTACCCTGCAGAATGCTTCTCCTTGGGAATACGCCACACCTCCTTGATACCAAGACCGTAGGTTTGCGGCTGCGCGTCCTTGCGGAGGTCGAATTTACCCATGACTTCTTCGCTGCATGACCCACGGCAACCTTCGCCAAACAGCGTCACGCGACCACGGAGTTCCATACCGCGGGCAAATGTTTCCTTGGGCGTGCCGTCCTTGTTGATACCAACATCGCGCGTCGCGATCCCGCGCACACCGCCATCTTCGCGATACAGCACTTCTGAAGCGGAAAAACCGGGATAGATTTCCACACCCAATTCTTCAGCTTGCGCACCCAACCACCGAGTCAACTTGCCCAAACTAATGACGTAGTTGCCGTGGTTATGCTATATAAATCCATGAGTCAACGAAGTCGTCATTGTCAAAGCAATGATGAACCTGTTGAGGAGGGAGCATAAAACTCGGCAACTTCCACGAACTGTCCTTCGAGATGACAAGAAATCGGTCGTCGGTCACGGGGGTATCGAGCGGTGCGCCCCTTTCTTTCCAGTCTGGGATCAATTCGTTCAACGCGCGGGGCTCAAACACATTTCCTACCAATCACAGAATTCCACATCAACGATTCCCGTTCCTAGCTTCATCAGAGATGGATCATACATACCTGAGATGATGTGGGATCCGACTTCAGCTCCCTTTTCTACCACACACACAGAAAGGTCCGTGCCCTTCTCCAAACCGAGCTGCTTAATGCGGATCGCGGCAGACAAACTCGCGGGACCCGCGCCGACAAGCAACACGTCATAGTCCATTCCTTCACGAGGGGCCGAGAAGACATCGTCACTGAAGTATCGCGATCTTAGGGCGCTTTGGCTGGTGGAATTTCGTCGGAAGAGTTTGGACGCGGCGGCGCGACGGAGGAGCATGTTTGTGGAAACAACGAATTCTAAGACTGAAGTGGGATTTCGTCAACAGTTTCGTGTGGCGTGTGGTCGGTGGAATCGAATTTCGAAGACACCATCGACTTGAAGTTCAGCGGCGGTAAACCGTAGTTCGTAATTAAATGTATACTTGCAATTTGTATGAGATGTGGTATGATGCAATTCCTATCAAGGGTAAATAATCGATTTGAGCATGGATAAATGAATAGTAGTACTACTCAATCGTCAAGAAATA